TATATTTTTGAAATTTTCCGTAAAGAACTCATCTGATTGGTCGAGAAGTAACCAATCAGATTTCGACACATATAGATAGTTCCAGATGTTGTCTTTCGAATGGTGAAAACCGCAGGTCTCTACGATGTTCCTATCAAAAGTTATTTGAAAAACAGTGGAGCGGATTCTATTGAAATGGATAGTATAGTGAATGTGCACTGTATATGGTATTTGCTAATTCTTGAACGGAACGTGCTAGAACCTTGAAATTTTGTGGCAAGATAGCTAATAGGTACTCACTTGTACACACAAAGTTTCATTGAAAACTAATGATGCTAAAGCGAAAAAGTTAAGCACCCCCGAAAACTCTATTTTTCCTAGTTTAAGGGATTCCATTTCAGACACATCTTGGACTCTCCAAGTTCATGAAAACGATTTTTTTTCTTAAAAGAAACGATGTCACCCCATAGCGGCGAATCTGGAGAACAAGTTTTGAAAGACAAAATTTTTTTCTAAGGCTTCATAAGAGTAGGGGACGAGGTAAGAACTACTTTTTTCGCAAACATCAAAATAGCTGGAAAAACCGATTTTTTCAATTTTTGAAAATTTTATAACTCAGCCAAAGAACATCCAACCCGCGAAATATTTTAACCCTAGACCCTTGGGGTCTAACCCTACAAACTGACAAAATTTGAGGGCATGTTAGGGGGGGGGGGGTACCCCCCCCCCTTAAATCGATTATCTTCAACCAATATGAAAATAAACTGATTAATTTAAATAGTAATTCTTATTCCCGATATTTATATTGACTATTGAAAAAATATCAAATTTAACTTTGAGACACGTCGAATTTCATTAATTAACAATCGTTCTCAATTGTTTTTTAAAAAGACAAATGCACATAAAGCAAATGTTCTTGAACATACCCACATATCAATTAATGCATTTTGGATTTGACGATGAGTTAAATAAGAAGTTGGAATTCGTTGAGCAATCGATTGAGATGTAGACAATATAGCAATTTTTGCTAATGCTTTAATCACACAAAGATATATAATAACATTTTGTTCAAAATAATCAATTCCTTTCTTAGAATATAAATGATTATTTTCTGTATAAAACTGATCATGATGAATCTGGTTAAACGTTTCAACTGTTTCAGTTGCCATGTTATTTATATTAAAGCCTATAAAAGTAATGAAATTTAATAAAATGATTTCTAAATATAATGATAATTGTTACCTTTCATCATAGTACCATACATAGACAATGTCTTTATTTGACATGTTTCAAAAAATGTTTGAGCAGATTTAATATCACCACATTTAATTAATCCATCAAGTAGAGAAGTTACAATATAACGATTTGAATAAAATGTTTTTGGAATATTTGATGAAACATTTTTTATTAAGTTTAATGCTTCATCTGTGCCCAATTGAGCACAAGCATTAAAGAATAGATTGATAATAATTTCATTAGGATTTTTTATTTGTTTGAAAAGATCAATAGCTTTATTTGAACAGTTATTTTTAATATAACCTAAAAAAATGAAATAAATTTTTTCGTATGATAAAGGAAAAAAAAAGATCTAACCTTTCATCATAGCTGCATACATTGGTAATGTTTTTATTTTTGAGTTTTCAACTAATAATTGAGCATATGTTTGATCACCACATGTCATTAATACATCAATTAGAGAAGTTAAAATATAAGTATCCGAATAAAATTTTTTTGGAATATTTGATGAAACATGTTTTACTAAATTTAATGTTTCATTTGTACCCAATTGAGCACAAGCATTAAACAAAAGAACAAAAATAACTTTATCAGGACTTTTAATTTGTTTGAAAAGATCAATTGCTTTATTTGCCAATTTATTTTTTATATAACCTGTCAAAAAAAAAAAAAATAAATAAATATTTTTGTATGACAAAAGAAAAACTTATAACCTTTCATCATAGCTCCATATATAAATAAAGTTTTATTTGTTGATGTATCAAACAAAGATTGAGCACGATTAACATCACCACATTGCACTTTAATTATAGAATAAGAATTATTTTTTATTGAAAAATTTTATATTTAGTCTTATAGAGCTCGTCGTATCAATTGTGAATATAATTCTTTTTTTTGTTAAAAATTTCACTGGGTAAAGAACAAAATATGAGAAGTTCTCTTGTTGATATTCTCATTGAATTTGTTCATAGTGGATAGAAGAAATTCGATTTAGTTTTTTCTTGATCAATATTTTTTTTGTAAGAAATAGCTGATAAAATTGCATGTGCATTACAAATTTTGAAGTGAATGAAAACTCTGATGAAATTACGGAATAGAGCATTTTCATTGACATGTACAAATTTAAAAACTCTAGACTCCTAAGAAAAAATTATCGAACGAAGAATCATGTGTCTTATTGATTCTTTCTCATTTTCAGATAGAACATAAAAATAAATTTAATCAATGTAATATTAAAATAATTTAAATAGAATTTTAAGATTGGAAACTATTTATTTTCTATGAAAATCTCTGAGAATTCAAACAAAAATCGTCATATGTTTCTAATTATTGAGTGAAATTCAAATAATAAAAAAAAACGAAATATATATATAATATCCGTAATTGTCACAATGACTTTTATTATAAGAGATAATATATTTTATTTGATCCTTGTAATATGTCAATTCCGATATATTCCTAACAATGTTTTCTCACCGTTTATCGAATGTAATTAAATAGTATTTGTCATTTGTATTCGATTAGAACTTCTCATTAATAAATCTATACGAAAATGAATTCAGTTTAATTTTATTTGCGTTGAATTGTTTATGTTGACTTTCGAATTAAAAGCATTGTTAAAAATATAATACAATTCAATTGTAACTATAAGTTTGATTTTGTATCAAATAATAACTATTTATTGATGAATAAACTTACTATAGAAATGAATTAATGATGGTAATATGTAAGGATCATATTTTAATCGAGATGAAACAAGATTATGAATATTTGAACCACAATGAAGATCACCTATTTCAGTACATGCTCTTAAAGCTTGAATTATACTCCAATTAGAATATTGTTCATTCGATTTTGTTTTATATTTATTGAATAAATCAAGTGCTTTTTCGAATTGTTTATTATCATTTAACAATTTCATTTCATCACCTAAATCGGCATTCGATTGAATAAATGCTGAACGTTTTGCAATAAATATTACAAAACTCGAACGATTAGTAAACAACTTTTTTAACATAGGATTATCTTGTTCAACTGTTTAGCTAAAAAAATACTAGTGTGAAGATAGCCGAACCGGATCACCTAGCCGGAACAAAGTAATTATTCTATTGGACGATGAGGGGTGCAATAGATAACGTAGTTTTTATGAAACACCAAGATAGAGGAATAGTAAAAATAATATTTTGGACATGACGCCCTTGATGACAGTTTTAGATGAGACATTGATTTCTCTGTTCAGTGGAACTGTCTGTCAGTGTAAAGACTATGTTTTTTCTGTTGAGTATTATTAGAAATCAAGACAACGCAAATAATAAACACACAATCATATAAAATCATTAAAAAAAAAGAAAATTAACAACTTATGGCATTTCAATATCATATGAACCGTCACGTGAAGCATATTTTGTTTTCGAGATTATATATAGTTGAGTAATAATTTCACCAGTTAATGTTTTTCCTAATTCAACTTCATATAGTCTCAACATGAGTATCATATCTACAGGACATTTTTGAAGAAAATTTTCTATAGCCCGATTGAATTGTATGTCGTATAACTCGTGTGCCTGTAGATGTTGGCCTAGAAATGCTCGAGTGTTGTGCGGTAGCATGTTGAATAATGTTTTACATAGGCCAAAAATTGAAACGATCAAGTACATATAATAACCAAAACCATAAAAATGAAAAAAACTACATTATTTACCACATTGATTGGCAATATACATTCGGCCTATGTTTCATCCATTTCACCTAGAAAGATTAGCACATTATGTAATAGAAATTTGCCCATTGACTTGTTTTTAGCTACTGGTATATTACGAAAAAGCAAATCTAAATAGAAACACTTGAAAACTTATTATAGATCCAAATTATTCGTATACAAAAATGCTAAAAATCAATTTCTTTTTTAGATTTAAACTCAGAATCC